GAAATGAAAACAGAAATAAAATAAAGTAACTGCAAATAAAAGTCTGTTTTAAAAGACAGCTGCTGCTTACAAATTACCATAATGAAAGGCGAGCTGTCACGTATCCAGTGAAACTGTTGGCTTCATGAAATATGTGACAATATTTGACTAGGGTTAAATAATATAGAGTTAATTAACCGATCACTTATAGAGTTTTTCAAGAGTAGTCAGTCTCTCTTCATGCCGTTGACTGTTCTGATATGAACGGTGGGCTTTACTGGCAATAACGTTACAGCCCAAAAAACCTTTATTCTGTACCCATTTATGTAGGTGAGCCTCACTAAACACAGTGGAACTTACTTGTACATAAACATGAACTGGGCTGTTAGTTTTTCTAATTTTCTATCTGGGCCTGGATCTTCTAAATAGAGGTGACAAACATAAGGCCCTGGGGACTGGAACAAGGCCATTCAGGGCTCTAACCCAGCCCATGAACAACTGGTGTGAAGGAGGGAAGGCAGGAGGCTGTTTGGGGGTAAGGAGGCACACATGGTGAGGTGTGTGTCTAGTCAAAGCTGTCAAGAAATCGAAAGGAAATGGCTAGGTGCTAAGAGGCTAACTTGAAATAGTAGCGAGGAATGGAAATGAAGGCAGAGAAAGAGGAGGTGTGGTGTTTTTCCCCTCCTGCCTCCTCTGATCGCAGCTCAGCAAGGATTGGAGAAGCCACTACATGGGGGGATGAAGCTGAGTGGCCACTGCTGCACCAACCGGCTTCATGTTTTTTCAGATGGCAACCATGAGGGGGGTTGGTGAGAGTGGGTGCATGGAGCAGCAGGGATCTGATGAAGGGCCAGGGCCAGTGGGGGGAAAGAGGAGGAAGAGGGCCGGCACATGGATTAGGAAGCAACTGTGCTTTCGTGTGCATGCTGCTCTGAAGGGAAAGACCTCCTGGCCTTGGAAGTGAATGGAGGAGCAAAGGGGGGGAAATAAATATGATATGATGTCACTGCCACACATCTGAACAGTCGCAGAGCCAGGAGGAAGAGTGAGTATTGGGGCAGGTGGGGTATGGCGACCTCCCTTCTTCCCCCACCTGCTCTTAGCCCCTGAGGTACAAGGGGTTGCAGGAGGACAACAAGCACTCCCTGGAGGTTTCAGAAACAGCCTCTCTGTCAGGCCTTCCCTCAGCTCCGCTGCTTCTGTGGGAAACACAGGAGGAATGAGAACTGGGGACAGGGGGATCTGGAAGAGCTGGTTCAGACCCCCCCTTCCTAAGTCAGGATCCTGTCATCTGAGTCACCCGGGGCTGGTCGCTCAGCCTGGCCCACTTCACAGGGTTGTTGTTGGGGATGGGGGGGAAGCCCAGTGGGCCTCCTCAAGATCCTCAGAGGCAGGACTGGGGAAGAGAGGAAACAAAGAGCAAGAGAAGGATTGCAGCCATGCTCGGCTGCTGAGGCTGGGTGTATGGGGAGCTGCTGAAAAACTACCTTGTTTACTTGTAAGGATGATGACTCATCTTCTAAAGGTGCTTTATATACAAAAAGTAGCTAACTGGTATGGAAGTGTAAGATGCCCCCCCCCCCTTTATGGTATCCCTTGGAAAAATGGCATATGATTAAATACATTTATTGGGGCTTTTGTGGGTTTCCCAGGAAATCAATTGCTTTCACTACTAGGAATCAATTGCTTTTGTTTGTATTTTGAGTAAAAAATAATTCTGTTAATTTGGCTTGCCTTTGTCCTTTATAAGGTTTATATCTCTGGTTCCTGGCATTACATTTTATGGCACACATGGCCCAGCCCGACAAAGTGGCATTTATGTCAGATCCAGCCCTCATAACAAATGAGTTCAACACCCCTGTTCTAGGGCCACATAAAAGGAGACTTTCAAAATGGACCATTAAGGAGCAAACTTTGCTTCATCTGCATGAGTACAAAATTAAATTAAACTGTGGGCCCGGTGGGCATTCAAACAGCCTGAAGGTATGGGTTACAGAAGATAAGTACTTGTGTATGTGTGTGATTCTAGTTATGTTTGGGTCTGTCTGGGGGTGCCCCCACCCCCCCTCACTCACCACAGCAAGAGGAGCTTTCCATGGTCTCTCAGAACTGACCAACAGCAGCAAGAGTTGGCTGTGGGGCCAGGAGATGAGGGGCAAGCGGTAGGGCCCTGCCGAGGCAGGAGCATGGCAGAACATGGCATGATGGCTAATGGGGTGGCTGGGAGTGCCCAAGTCCTCAGCAAGTGGTGTCCTGGGGGAATGGGGACTGGAAAGGGAGGGTGAGCCACACTGGGCTTGAAATGCTGTCCTCTGAAAATCCTGGGTGGGGTGCCAGTCAGGAAGGCTCAGCCCTTGGTGAGAGAATCTGCAGAATGTCCCTCCTCTGGGGAGGCTTTATAAGGGTGGATCGGGGGCAGGCGGGGAGGAAGAGCAAAGGCCATCCTTAGGTCTGTATGGTGGGGTCCTGGCAGTTGTAGGGGAGAAGGAGCTGGGTGAATGTGAACCCCTCCTCCCCCCTTTTCACCTAACTGAGGCTCTCCTGAAGGTCCTGCCCAAATCTGGAGCTGCTGCCCCAGACTTTCCCCAGGAGCCTTCAGAATCAGACTATATATTACTTGCCACTGTGGGAATTATTGATGGTAAAAAATAAATAAATCCATACTATCAACTGGGTTTTTGGGCTAGATTTATTTAATCACGTAGTGAGAGTCTAATTAATAAAGTGGAACCTGTGCAAAATGTTGCTCAAACATAGATTTATTAGAGGATTATTCAAGCACCACACTCCATACAGACAACTAGTGTTTGCATGCTGCTTGTCTGCTGGTTTGACCAAACTTCACAGACTGGCATTAATTCTCTCCAGGCAACTGGGTCAAACTACATGGGTGCACACTAACACCATGTTTGTTCACGGGTGATAGTGTCACATAGAATTTTTTTTGCAGGTTCTCATGCGTGCAAGAAAGGCTATTTATTGGATATAAATTTTTAAAAGTTCCACCATATATAGATCAGTAACCATCTTATTTCACGGGTCACCATTGCTTTGTGAGATAGGTCTTTTCATCTGCCATTGCTCCTTCTTTCCCCCCTCCATACTTGTATGCTCTTTTTTCTTTCTTTCTCATTAAATGGGGGTTAGGGAGAGATGGAAATTACTAGGTTTTATCCTTAATCGATTAATCAAAACAATACCTTCTTAGTTTTCACATTGAAAAAAGGCTGACATTTTCTCTTTGAGCAAAGAAGCACTGACAATCCTTGTTCTGCCTAACAGATTCAACTTCTGTGCCATCTTCCAGGTCCCTGCTTTTGGATGCTCCTGCCTTAAAAGATTAGGCAGGTGGCCACCTGGGAGAGGGCCTTCTTGGTTGTGGCACCAAAACTCTAGAAGTCTCTCCCCAGGGAGACTCACCTGTCCCCTTCTGTTGCTGTCTACTGATAGCTGGGAAAGATTGAAGGTCAAAGAAGACGGGGACAGCAAAGGATAAGATGGTTAGACAGTGTCATAGATGCAACGAACATGAAATTGAGCAAACTTCAGAGGACAGCGGAAGACAGGAAGGCCTGGCGTGATCTGGTCCATGGGGTCGTGAAGAGTCGGACTGTGCGACTGAACAACAAAAAAGCACTTTTGCAGCACAATCCTAAAGAGAGTCACACCCTTCTAAGTCTGCTGAAGTAAATGGACTTAGAAAGGTGTAACTCTGTTTAGGATGGCATTGCACATTAGACAGTTTCCACTGATGTAAGCATCTGACTCATTACATTCTAGCATAAGTAGGAAATGCACAACTCTTTAGATGACACGTTAAGCAAAAGAAAAAAGAAAGAGAGAAAGAAAGAAAAGTTGGGCATGATGGAAAGTCCAAGAGAGAGCAGAGGAAGTGTTAGGTAGCCTTAGGCAGCTAGGCTACAATCCAGCGCATACATAGGAGTAAGCACCACTGAATGCAAACACGCTAGGCTCAAATTGCCTGCTAGTGATGGGGGCAAAAACAGATACATAAAACCTACATTTTGTCTCTTTGTCCCATCAACTTTTAGCATCACCTCAGATTGTTTTATTGTGGTTATTGTTGTCTTTTGCCGCTAGCGGCTAGCATAGTCTAACCTACTTAAACCTACCTTTTCTGTCCTCCTAAGATTCTTTGGCGGGCGCTTCCACATGTTTATATCTGCTATTGTTTGGGGGTTTATTCTGCCAAGAGCGTGGGCCCGTGGGGAAGAGAGGAAATGGTCTCCCTGGGAGCTAGGGAGGTAGCTCACCGGGCGGCACCTGGTCTCTGGCGCGGGCCCTCAGCGCATCTCCGCGGCGCTTCCTGGCGCGAGGTTGCCGGGAGCCTCCTCGCACTCTCCTGGAAGGCGGCGAAGCCTGCCAAGAAGGCGTGCCGCGTCGCCTCGCCCGCCAGTCCCAGACTTTCCCTCGCGCGGCTCTCGATTGGCGCACAGAGGCTCCAGCCGTCCGTCTGGACCGCCCAGGAGAGGCGGGGCCCCGCAAAGTTTCATTGAAGTGGAGAAATGTAGGCAAAGGTTGGAGGAGCTGCCGCTGGCTGGGAGCATCGTGGCCGGCTGAAGGGAGCGAGGCGCTCCTCTTTTCGCGCGTCGTCGCCAAGCGCTTCGGATGCTCCTCCGGCCATGCGTCCTGCGTGAGTGCCGGGCATCGTTTGGCGCCGTGGCTCGCCTTGGACCACGCCGCTTGGGGCCGGAGTTGTGGCTGTTGTAATGTCTGGGAATCTCGCTCGTAAACTCTTAGGTTACCGAGCCAGCGCGGGCTAGGCAGCTCCGGGTGAGGACTTGAGGGCTGCCCAGGCAGCGTTTCCATGCCAGGGCAAAGAGGGTCTCCGACGCGCAGCCTCAAAATCTCCGGCAGAAGCGGAGCATCTTGAGCTGAGACCGCCGCTGAGCTTGACTTTGCCTCGGATTTTATGGGACCGGCTGCTCCGGGGATGGCGAGGGGCTTCTGACAAGCGATCGGCTGTAGAGACAATGCTGGCTTGCCCCCGCCCTCGACCAGGGTGGACCTAAAAGTTACGATGACTTGGTGCCTGCTGTAATAGCAGCAGCGCTGCTCTCCTTTGTTCCCCCTCACGACTAAGCTTGCTCCGATCTTCTAGCGATGGCAACAGAAGTGGTGTGTGGATTGATCTTCAGACTACTACTTCCCATCTGTCTAGTCACTGGTATGTGAAGTTTGCCTTGGTGGTAAAGGCGGGGGGGGAGGGAGGGGGGACGACAGTGACGACAGCTAATTCAAGACCCACATTCTGTATGTAGGTGGTCTAAGTGGTTATAAAGCCGCCCTTAAGGCACCTTTTGTCCTCCAGCAATTCATTCAACGTTGACATTATTTTTTCCAGATGTGTTTGCGTACACACTTTGTAGCAATAGCCTCTCTCGTGTGCTGCATTTACTTCATTTTCCCTTTAAACTTTCCTTTTTCACACACCTGACTGAACATAAACATTAGGGCCAATTGACTTTGAATTAAAGATAAATTAATACATTTTCAAAACTCATTCAGTAGATTAAAAAGTTGGCACTGTGATAATTGAGCAAAGGATTCAATACGTATACAACTGATGTGATGAGTTGAATACTCTCCCGGGCTCTAAACAGCACCTGTACAAACACTTACTAAACCTGGGGGGAGGGGAGAGATCCCGAATACACTGTCAAGGAAATATTCCCCATTGATTCCAATAGAATCTATGTTAAATTAATAGTTAAGACTGAACATGGAAAAAATGCCTTTACACATCATGAATATTTGTACTTTTAAGACCAACAAACCTGGGTTTTCTGTGCTTTTAAAAAGTGCAAGATGGTTGCATAGCTGACACAGAAAAAGTTCGTTCTTACCATTTGAATGCTAGTGGTATGATAGACTGTCCAACCATCATTGTTGGCTGTTGTTATTAGTCTGTGTTTGCCTTATTAGAAATTGAAAGAATTAAAAGGTTTTGTCTTTTGATATTGCAAAACTGAAAGGATAGAGAATGAGGGTGATGAATAAAAACATCTGTTGGTGAATCGGTGTACAGCTGTCTAAAAGTGTTTATTCTGTCAACAGTTTCAGGCTCAACTTTAGTAAAATAGGAATAACCACCAGGTTTATCATGGCCTTGGTATGGTGCAGAAAAAGCATTGAGAATTGGGCCCATTCCAGTACTGAAGCATTCTGCTAAACTATCGCATATGCAGCTGCAGGTATTTGTTACAGATGAAGCTGCAGTCAGTTACTGTATTGTTGCATAATTATTAGTACGAGTGAAGTCAATTGTAGATTTGCCTGTGATGTAAAGGTTGTGTGATCACATTCCATGAATCTAGATCTCTGTAATTATAAATCCAGTTTAGATATTTTGAAGTGTGGCTGTCTAGCTACATAGCCCACATAATGAGGAGGCGGTGCAGAGTTCCTTGTTGGTTGGGAAATCTACATAATGTTCCCAAGTAATTTCTCGCAACTTTTTAAAACACCTTCTCTGAGTTAAGGAATTGAATTTTCCCTGGGAGAGAGAGACATACACACTCTCTTCTTCTTTCTCCATCCCCAACCAGATGCCTCTCCTTGCCTTTGTAATTCACTTCAGGCAGACATACAGGAAGCTGAGACCAAACTTCACAATATAAAATACTGTTTCATTGACTAGTGGATGAAAAAAATAAATAAATAATTTTTTTTTTGAGAAGGCCACATTGTCGCTGGCAAGCACCCCAGCATCGTCTTCTGAATTCATGTAATCACAGACTAGAGGGTAAACTGCCTGCGGGCACAAGGCAGCTACAGTCATTTACTGCTCAAAGCATATCTAGAACTTTGTCGACTTCCCCCCCCCTGGAAGCTCGTCAATATTTGAACTCCTTGCAGGTCTCTCAATAGCACGGGGCTTGGTGGGTGGAAGTTTTGCTCAGGTCCTCCTGAGCTGCTATTCATTTGATTCTCTTCGCTTTCACCTTAGTGTCTTCTGTTCACTCTAGAGTCCTCGGTTTCCTTTGTAAAGTATCATCTGCAGACAGCACTGGGGGGGGGGGGGGGAAGAACCTGAATATCCTCTTGTTATTATGTTTCTTTCACAAATGCATCTGATATGCTGAATGCCAGTTTTGTAGTCTCCAACCTGTATTTTAGCTGAAGCACGGTCTTTGCCTGACGGTTCAGGTATAATAAAATTAATTCTCTGTGCAAGGCCATTATAACATAAAGGAAGCAAGCTGTGCTTTTAGAGAAACAATTACTGCATGGGGCAAATATTTTAAGAGCCACAGAGTATTCAGGACTGGCTTGGTTAAAGGAACCCCTGAGGTGAAGTTCCTTCCCCCTGTGCCTGGAGCAGGAAACACAACCTCGCTTTCCTCAGACCAAGTGTTTGCAAATCCTGATAATCTGGATCTCATTAACAGTGCTATCCGAAACAGAGTTGCACCTTTCTAGACCTGTTGGGGTCAATAGGGTTAGAAGGGTGTAACTCTGCTTCCTAATCATTATGTTCATTTGTCCATCCCAAATATTAAGGGATTTCCGCAGCTCAAGCAGACATATGAGCCTGTCAAAGCTATTGCACATTTTGCAGTGTGCTTATCATCCTCAAGTACTTCCATGTTTACTCATATCTCAGATATAAGCATTGGAGGCTGCCCAAAACTGCCTGCTATTAAGCCTAATTGTAATTGTTGTTTTATTTATTTGTTGCATGAGAAATGTTCTGAAGGAGCCGTTCTTCCTCAGAAGACACTTTGCCTTAGATACTTTAAAGTATTTCTAAAACCCACATGGACACAATCCTCTATTTGATTTTTTTTTCTGTTTAATTTCTGACTGGGCAACATCTATTCATTTATGCCTTTTCCGATGGTTTTAGTGCAGCTCTTTGATTTCATTTTTGTAACATCCAAAAGACAGAATGCCTGGTTTGCGGTATATTGCCTCTGGTGAAATGCTGACAAATGAGAATTTTACTTATAAACACAAGTTACCATCTGTAAAACACATTAATGTGGTAGGCCATCTTCCCTGAAGTCCATATTCACATATCAACCCTTGACATCATTTTTTTGTGGTCTCCTAGCTGTTAGTTCAGTGTTTCAGTTCCGGGGTTGGATGGGAAAGCCATGCTGGTCTGTTGCTGCACAAAATGAACAGGAGTCTTGTGGTACTTTAAAGACTTACAATTTTTTGTTCTAACATACACATTTGTGGTCCAGTGTCTTTCAGTCTTGCCACAAACAAACCCTGCCAAATGAGTAACTTGAAGAGATCCATGCTCTGATATTTTTCTCCAGAATGGGCTAGTAAATTCTTGAGGTATGATTGTCTGTTTGCAATAGCATTTGCTGTAAACACTCTCTTTGCTGTGTGGATCTGGAGAGATGAGCTTGAAATACTGTTGCGTAGAAGCATGGAAATACGTTTGTATCATTGGAATGATGCAAATTTGAAACAAGGTTAAATAGGTGTCATATAGTGGCAAAACTAGATGTTCTACATAAACCAACTCCTAGTCTATGAGTCACTTTATCAAGATCAGCGTTGACTGTAAGTACACTTTGTTATCATGAACAGTGACTTGGAATTGCACTTTTGGCACTTGCCTTAATGAGACATGGATAGGCCTAATTCCTGCACTGTGGTTCGAATGAGAGGCAGCTTGGTTGCTTTGTGGAATAGTGTATACACCCCATTGATTTCAATTGCACATTTTATCTGAGCAGCCTCTCAGTGATTTGTGATTTCTGGTAGCAAGCCCCAAGTTCATGGCACTCTGATCTACAACCCAGTTAAATCTAGAGTATTTAGTCCCAATGGTGATACCAAATAAACCTGTAGATGTGCTGTGTGAACAAACAACAACCTAAGATGCTACACATGATGCTGAGAATGGGCTTCTAAGATGTGCAGGCTGCCTGCATACTCAAAGACTCCAGGAATGAAAAGGTGCTGTGTGTTTAAAATGTAGCTTTTCTTCCTGCAGAAACATAAGAACATAAGAGAAGTCATGTTGGATCAGGCCAATGGCCCATCCAGTCCAACACTCTGTGTCACACTGTGGCCAAAACCCAAGTGCCATAAGGAGGTCTACCAGTGGGGCCAGAAGCACTAAGAATGCAGAACTTTACTGCCCCAGACATAGTGTTCTATCTATACATTGTGGCTAAAAGCCACTGATGGACTTCTGCTCCATATGTTTATCCAGTCCTCTCATGAAGCTGTCTATGCTTGTAGCTGCCACCACTTCCTGTGCTAGTGAATTCCATGTGTTAATTACTCTTTGGGTGAAGAAGTATTTCCTTCTACCTATTCTAAGCCTACTGCTCTTGAATTTCATTGAGTGCCCATGAGGTCTGTATTTTGTGAGAGGGAGAAAAGTAGTTCTTTCTCTGCCTTCTCTATCCCATGCATAATGTTGTAAACCTTTATTGTCTTTAATAACAGATTCAACCAATTTACCCAGTATCGGTGTTAGACTGACCAGCATGTAATTTCCTGGATCTCCTCTGGAACCTTTTTAAAAGATGGGGATTACATTAGCTACCTTCCAGTCCTTGGGAGAGGAGGCAGATTTTAGTGATAGACTGCATATTTTTGTCAGGAGATCCACAAGTTCACATTTGAGTTCTTTCAGAACTCTAGGACGTATGCCATCTGGGCCTGGTGATTTGTCAGTTTTTAATTTGTCCATCAATCATAGGACCACCTCTCTTGTCACCTCAACCCGACTCAGGTCTTTTGACACCCCTCCTGAAATCAGCGATTCTGGAGTGGACAAGCACTTCCCACAGTGGAGACAGAAGCAAAAAATGTATTCAGCTTCTCTGCCATTTCCCTTTCATCCTTTAGTAATCCTTTCACCCCTTGGTCATTCAAAGTCCTCACTGCCTCCCTGGCTGGTTTTCTGCTTCTAATGTATTTGAAGAAATTTTATGTTCCTCATAGTCCCTTTTTGTCTGTCTGATCACCGACCTGCATTTTATTTGCCAAAGCCTGTGTTCCCTTTTATTTACCTCTCTTGGGCTAGCCTTCCACCGCTTAAAAGAATCCTCCTTACCTTTTACTGCTTCCATTACTTTGTTTGTTAATCATGCAGGCCTTTTAAATACCTACTTGTCCCTTTCCTAACCTGTGGTATACATTTTATCTGAACATCTAGGATTGTTGTTTTAAATAATCTCCAGACTTCCT